CACCTTTTTTGCTAAACCCATATCCCCCCAAACACCAGACATCATTTAGACCTTGGTGTTTTGGCTAAATCTGGTCCATCATAGTCTTGATTTAGAAAATTAGGCTGTGTTTGGTCTTATTTTGTCCCAAGTCTTCTAATATTTTTCAACGATCTGAAAATTACTGCTTTTTACCTTTCACTTTTCAACCAAATGTAGATGTTATTTGGACCTAAATCATGTCGTCTTCCCAACCAATTTTTGCTCAGTGATATAGACTATTTCCAACTCAGTTCCTAAAAACTGTTTGTGTTCATCATCCTACTGCGTTTCACTGTGGTTTACCAAATCACCCGTTAGGATGGAAAAAAACTTTTTATTAGATAATTAGATCAGGGCATCTGTTTTCAGACTGAAAATTAGATTTAGGTAGTTAGATTTTCTCTGTGCACTGCTACCCTTCACAAAATCCCAGAATTAAAATGATGTGATGAGAAACTGGCTTTTTGGATGTAAGAAAAAAATAAAGCGGCAATGTTTAATTGAACCAGTTCAGATGTGGTTCTTCTAAACTCCTGAACTGGTACCAGCATTGGCTTAGAAATAGAGCTGCTTTGGTGGAAAAACTCCATTTATTAGGAACCTAAAGTCAACAAAAAATAATTTTCCCTTTGATCCATAAGTTTCCCAATATTTGCCAGACTGTCGACCAAGATGTATTTCTCATCTCGTCATTGAACACTTTCAGCACAAACAAAAGCCCCTCGTCCTTCAACATCCATGGTATTTTTACTCTGTCCTTTGCTCCGCCTTATTACATGTTAGCACCGGTTAAAAAACGTCTGTGCTGCCCCACTGCCGTGCTCTCTGACCTACAACGCACCAACGACAGCCGTTATCTGTCTGCTGCGCAGTCATCACTGCCATTAAAAGTGTTACGCTCCCCAGACAGGAAGTATTGTTGTCCTGATAACTACAGGCCTGTTGCTGCTGGGAGGTCATGCCCTTCTGCGCCAAATGATTGTGATGTAATAAAAGAAGGAAGGATGGCGCTTTAAGCTTCCCTTTGACAAAAACGATCCAATAATGACAGCATAAAGATTTAGCTGAGGTAAATTATGAGTGTGGGTGTTTCATTGTTTGTGTGTGAGAAAGCTGATGATGGCGTCAGCTTGAAGATGGAGGGGAGGATAAGAGGATGTAGTGATGCATGGCAAGAGAGACCAAAACAGGAGTGTTAATGTTCTCAGGCCTGCGGCTCTGACTTTAGCTGTGCCCTTGAGATTCATTGGGCATGTGTTGGATGTGTGTGCGTGGGTTTGTGTGCGTCTATGTGTGAAAGGCAGAGAGTGAGCCGCTTCCTGTGCTTGACTTTGTGTCAGATAAGGTGCGTTATTGTGGTGACTAGTTAACCTAGCATTGTGAATAAAGCTGAAGCCACTCATGTGCATCAACTTTAAGGTATGCCACCAGGAGCCATAAATACACCTGTGTGTTTTCTCACACACTCGATGACACACGCAGTCGAGCTTCAGCGTTTAGGCTCTCAGCGGACGACGTTATCAATCACTCAAGCAGCTAAGTGCGTCGTTCAGGAAGAATTCACACTTGTGACATTGTCCGCACCTTTTTCCTTCCCCATCTCCATTAGTGGGTTTGTCATTTATCATCTCTGACGTGCTCCCCGTGATGGACAGGTGAGAGGGGCCTCTGATCATCTTCTACTTATATATGATTTAGCCATTCTGCTCACAGAGGTGCTTTCTGATTGCTTGACTCTGATCAAACACTCAAACATTATGCTTTCAGTGCTCCACAGTGAGGGATGGGTTGGCCTTGAACAGTGCAGGAAAAAAGTGTTTACTACCTGCTAAATTACTCATTTTAGCTGTTTTTTCCCCCATCACTAGTGGCTCGTTTTTTTGACAGTAGGCTGACAGGAAAGGGGGAATGAGAGAGGGGGAGAGAAATGCGGTACAGGACCACAGGTCGGATTTGAAGCCGGCAATTAGATAGATTCAGATAGATTCATTAGGATTTATAAAACCAGTGTGACAACATGAAGCAGGTGAAATAGCTCCTAAAACAAATAATCATGTCTCGATCTTATTTAATAAAAGAACAGCAGAGAGAAAGCTGTAGATATTTATGGTATTATTAGTCTGGAAAGGATTACGAAGCAGTTTCTCAAGTTAAGGGACTCCCGGGAATTAGGAATCCAGATGTTTTATTGGTTGAATGTCTTGAACCCAGGTTTAAATCCTGGTTACATCAGGAAGGGCACCTGGCATTAAAAACCTTGCAAAGTCTCTGAGCAAGTCAGAATAAATTACCCTGGAGACCCCTCAGGAAGAGAGCAACCAAAAAGACAAAACATAGATTCCTCAGAATTCCAGCACTGTCCACAAATGTAAAACAAAAAAAAATGGAAGAGCGATGAGCCAATTACTCCATATTAAAATGTCCAAGAAATATCTTAATGATAACCAAGAGCAGGGGTGGGCAATTCCAGTTCCTGAGGGCAGGTATCCTGAAACTCTGGATTCCTCCTTGGTCCAACACACCTGAATTAAATGGCTGAATAACCTCCTCAGTGAGCCGTTCGTTCCTGCAGAGTCCTCTCAATAATCTAATTACTTGATTCAGGTGTGTTGAACCAAAGGCACATCTTAAAGTTGCAGGATACCGACCCATAGGAACTGGAATTGCCCACCCCTGACCAAGAATTTCAGCAAAATATTCTGTGGGCAGATGAAGCAAAAGTTTAACTTTTTGGAAGGTGTGTGTCCCCATAAAAGCTAACACAGCTTTTTATAAAAAGAACATCAGACAAACAGCCATAATCGATGGTGGAAGTGTGATGGTCTGGGCTGTTCTGCTGTTTCAGGACCTAGACGACGTGAGCTAACTCCAACATAACCCAGAAGTTCCTCATGGAGCTATCATTTTCCAGCATTTTGGCGTTTTTCTACAGAAAAATGATCCGAAGCTCACCATCAAGTCCACATTTTGAATGGCTAAAAAATCTTAAGAGATTTAAATGTAGGTTTTCCAACCCCATATCCCCTCAAAAGAGCCAGTTAGAAAATGAGCCAAAATTAAAACAATCGTACAAGGAAGAGTGGGTCAAATTCTCCTCACAGTGATTTAAAAGACTTATTTACATTTATTGCCAGCCCTAAATTTCTTTCTGAAAACAAAATCACTTTCGTTGATATTAAAATAAATGCACTGAAACCTTGAAGTGTGGCAAAAAAGGGCAGAAATATAAGCAATGTTAAAGGGGTTAAATACCCTTTCTCTGCATTATATGTTCACTTTAACATGAAGACAGCCAAGAGAGAAAAGCAGTCACATCATATAAAGTCATCATTAAGTGCTTGACTGACAAAAACGCTCTTCATACTTTCTTCATGTGCAGCCACCATGAATCTGGCCCACTTCTAGAACTCCAGCATGTTAGACCTGGTTACAGCAGTGTGCTGCGACTCACACTGTAGACACAAAAAACTAGAAAAAAAACACTTGTGCACAACTCGCACGCTACAGGCTCACTTGGTAATGCCAAAAGGAAGGCTTTGTTGGCCTTTACAGGTGAATGACCTTTTACAGGAACTTGACACCAAACAAGAAAGCTGGTCTGGAAACGGATTCTGATTCCTGGTTGATGGGACAGGTGTTGTGAATGAAACGGTGCCCAGCTTGAAAGAGCTCCTGTGTGTCGCTGAATGTGTGCATTGATGACTGAAAGACATCTTCTGCCTCCATTTATCTGTTTACTACAGTCTGTTGAATTCATGTTAATGTCTATCTAAAGACTTTCCAATTAGCGGACAAAAATTGCAGGGGTTAATAAAAAAAAAAAAGTCTAATCAACTAAAACTTTCGCGACCCCAATGCAGTACCTCCGTGGACCCCCTAGGGGTCGCGGACCCCTGTTGAAGACCTCCAAACTACATGATTTATCTGTGCATTGACAGCTGGTTAAGCTGCAAAATAAGAATTATTATCTTAGCTGCAACTAGCTGCATGACATTCTTGGAACGCGGAGCTGGGTGTGCTCTCTTCATCCTCGGACATGGGAGCTGGCTCTGAGCTCGTTTGCCTGGCTGCGTGACGGGGCCGCCTTTTGCAGCTGCTTTTTACATCTCTGCTTCTGTCTCCTTGAACCCCAGTCGGCCTCAGCAGATGGCCGCTCACACTGAGCCTGGTTCTGCTGAAGGTTTCTTCCTGTTAAAAGGGAGTTTTTCCTCTCCACTGTCACTACAAGCATGCTAAGTGTGAGGGATTGCCTTCAAGTCGATGCAATCAACTGGTTTCCCTTAGATAGAAAACTGAATAAATTTGACTTTTATGATCTGGTAAACTGTAAAGAGCCTTGAGATGACATGTAATGAATTGGAGCTATAGAATTAAACTAAATTGAACTGAATTGAATTCTTCAGCAGAAGTGAGAAAAAACGGTTAATCTCTGTTAATTTCTAGCATAATTAAGCATTTATCGAATTGCAACTATTTCACAGAAGGTAACTAAAATGCTCTGTTCAATTTGCCTGGGAACTTGGAATTGGAAATGGCTTTAGAGCTGGGCTGAGACTATTCCAGTAGTTCTAGAAAGATTTTAGAAAGTCCAACACAGACAAAGCAACATGTTCAAGTCTCATCTATTTTTGCAGTGTGTGAATTTCCTGCAGTTTCTGGAATGGACGTTCCAAAAGGTCTGCCACTACTGGGAGCCTGTAATCGTGCCTCACTGTGAAGAGCACTGAAATTTCACTCTAAGAAGTTCAAGCACACAGGAGGATCAGCTCAACAAGGTGTTCAAGCGGTGACAAGCTGCTTTTGTTAGAAACCTGCAAAGCTTTGTAGGATCTAAGATCTTTCTACATTCAAAAATGTCCCACAAATAATTCAGCTAAAATACACGAGTCCTTCGTGTTTAAAAAACTGTCAGTTTTGTCTCTAATCGGCTGCCAGACAAAAAACATCAATAATATTCAATAATGCTAGTAAAAAAAAAAATAAATAAAAAATACAATGTCCCTTTGAAGGAAAAAATTAGGGTTTCAAATTTCAGTCATTTTTTTAAGTTTGGAAACTTTCCAAAGATTTTAAAAGGCATTTAGCTTAATCAGAATTTTTTATTTTTTACCTGCAAAAAATATTCAAATGCCATTTTTGTCAATTTGCCTTTTGCAAAAAGAATTGCATATGACGTGTTTTGATAAAATTCTGAAATTGAAACCCTTTGCAACCATAACCTGAACTTTCTGATGTAATTCAGTGAGCTGTAATTACTGTCATTTAAGTACATTTACACTACTCTTTTTGTTATGTAACTAATAAAAAAGCTAATTTGAACCATTTAGGGCATTCTTTCAATGCAATGAAATATTAATATAAATACGGTTTTGTATTTCCACTGTGGCAGATTTAAGGCATCTGTCTTTTTTAGGACCCCTACCCATTATTTTCTGAATGAACTGTAAGTGTGTGCTTGAATGTGCCACTCACACAAGGTGTTGGTAAAGAGCACTTTACATCATATGCAGGAACTTGTGGTTGAATGTGCAGGGTTATTGCTCTCAATAATCTCAGAGGTCACTCTCTTCTCCTGACTTGAAGGCATCCTTATTGCTGTCTCTGATTGTTTCTCTCTCAAACACACAGCTGAATACACACTTTTCATGATGTTAAAGAGCATTTGCGAAATCTAAATCTGCAACTAGAAGAGACGAGCAGATGTCAGTTCAAAGGGGAGGCTGCTTTCGCCTCCGTTTCTGTCTGTTCTCTCATCTTCATTTCAAGTAATGTTTTCAGGCTCTTCTCCACACTAGTCTGTCACACCTCCATGCTTGGTTTGCTCAGATCCCCGTTCCCCTGGTCCCCTCCTCCGCCGCTTCCATTAATGGGCCCCCTCTCACCCTCGTCCTCGCTGTCCAGCTCCTCGCTCTTCCGCTTGCTGTAGCGCTCGTACAGCACCATGAGCACGCCCATCACCCAAGCCGAAACGGTGCCGGCCGAGAAGATGACGAAGCCGATGGCGATGAAGAAGAGGTAGTCCCAGTAGCCCAGGCCCTGGTGGCAGTCTGTCCGCAGCTGCATGCCGACCTCTGCCAGCCGCTGACCCACCAGCTCTGGAGGGTTGTGGCAAATTGTCTGGCCCTCATCTGAAAGTGATAGAGAGTGGAAGTTAATTAGGAAGGACGCTATGGAAGAATGTCAGGGCTGAAAATAACACGTGTATATGGAGGAGAATGAAGGGCAGAGCGTCAGAAGAGGGAAAAAAGGCAAAAAGGTAATTGCTTTGGAAGAAAGGCTGGGCAACCATCAATAATGTCTGCACAGAAGCAGCCTTCAACAATGCTTTGATAACCATTTTGATAAAAGACCCCTAAAGCAACCATATATTTCCTCAGAGTAATAAAAAAATCCTCGGACTGCAGGACACTGAAACATTATTATGCCACACACACTAACATGCATGCAAGGAAAGGTGACATTAGCCTCCTCCCTCTGCCATCAATAAACACCAACAAATGAGTCTTTTAGCCGCAGAGAGACAAGGAGACAAATGTTTTCTCTGACAAAACATCTGCCCTCATAATGAGGAATATGATAATCAGCCCAAGTGACTGCTGCCACACAAAGATACAGAGTTAGTGCCAAAACAAACAATCTGCCTGCAGCTAAGAGTTTATTTTGAGCGGGCATAAAGGTTAAAACAGGCTAAACAAATAGGCTTATAGGATTAAAACTGTTACTGTAGAGCTTATCAGGAGTATCTAACAGGACTAAAAACTCAGTATATTGTTACGCAGATGATGTTATGTATTTTTAAAAAATGTTATACATTTCTACATTTATTATCTACAGCCATTGTTTATTCTACAAAAACAAAAACTGAATTAATGTTAAATTCAATTAAATTCAGTTTCTTCTATAGCTCCAATTCACAACACATGTCGTCTCAAGGCACTTTACAGTTCAACCAGATCATCCAGTCAAAGTGATTCAAAGTTTTCTATCTGAGGAAAACCAGTTCATTGCATCAACTCTTTAACTTGAATACCTCACACTAAAGAATTCTTGTAGCGAAAGTGGAGAGGAAAAACGCCCTTTTAACAGGAAGAAACCTCCAGCAGAACCAGGCTCAGTGTGAGCGGCCATCTGCTGAGGCCGACTGGGGTTCAAGGAGACAGAAGCATAGATACAAAAGGCAACTGTAAAAGGCGGCCCCGTCCAGGAAACACACAGCCAGGCAGACGAGCTCCAAGGCAGCTCCCATGTCAGAGGATGAAGAGAGCACATCCAGCCAGTCACAGTCAGAGAAACAGGACTACACTGAAAAACAGGCCGATCCCCAACATCTAGAAACAAAGGTGTTGATGGCAGCAGCACAGCTGATATTTCTCTCCAGGATGGAGTCACAGCCAAACAGGAACAGACCAGATGAAGCTACTATGAGAAAAAGCAGAGAGAGCAGAACGTTAGAGATTGAACTAATAGATTCTGCAGAGTGGGAGAATAGAGATAGAATGATGAAAAGGGGTCCCTATGTCCTCCAGCAGTCTAAGGCCCCGTCCACACGAAGTCAAAACGAACACGAAACGCTGATATTTTCCAAAACGTTTGCTGTAAAGACGGAGACGTAAAACAAATGTGAGCGTCCACACGAATGCATGAAAACGCTGCAAAATGTATGCCAGGCCTGTAAGTGGCGCTGTGGTGCCAAAGCAAAAATAAGCGACGAAATGTTGGGCATGCGCACATATATTTATACATAGTTGCCCTGTGGGTCCATTTTCGTGGTTCAGTCAAATTCAGGTGCTGAACTATGTCGTCGATATTGCTCTGTTCTTCCTGGAGATATTCCAGAAGAAGAAGATTCTGTTGTAAGCCCGACAGCAGGGTGAGTAGCATTAGCAGCAATGGCGCCATTGTTGTTGTGATGTGTCGCGCATGCGTGTTTAGAGGCGACGCTATGACGCATGCGTGTAAAAAAAAAAATGCAGTTAGAGCGTAAAGATGGAAACGCGAAAACGGCGTTTCGAAATCTTCCCACTCTGAAGGCTGAATAAAAAAAAGATCGTTTACAGAACCCCGAAACGCCGGCTTCATGTGGATGAGAGGCTGGTTTGGTGAAAAATTTGTGCGTTTAGGCCAGGGTTCGTCTTCGTGTGGACGGGGCCTAAGCCTATAGCAGCATAACTATAGAGATAGCTCAGGATAACCTGAGCCACTCTAACTAGAAGCTTTATCAAAAAGGAAAGTGGGCTGCTCAGTGGCGCAGTGGGTAGCACTGCTGTAATGTTTAGGGTTTAGGGTCTAACAGACCATTGCAACACTCTTCTTTTAAGTTATTATCCATGACTGACCTGTATTTAGCATCCACTATCGTACAATAATATCTGGCTGACATCCGTGTCCTCAGTGGAGAAAACACATCCCCACAGTATAATGCAGCCATGACCGTGTTTTAATGTAGGAATCATTCTTGGTATATTCTACAAAGCTTTCCACTAAAATAATTGACTTTGTCTAGTTCCAGGTTTTGATCATGAATCTCTTCTTAAATATAATGAGAGTTAAAGTATCATCAACCTTTACCTCTGATCTTTGTTATGTTATTACTTTGCCATATTTTTATAGCCTGTGCCTTGTCATATTATAATATATACACTTCTGCATCCTGTTTAAACAAAAAGAAAGAAAGAAAGAAAGATGGACAGACAGAAAAAGGAAGAAAGAAAGATGCAAAATGCAAAGGATTGAGGTTTTTTTTACCTCCATCTGTTTTACAGTAACAAAAATGAAGGAATCTGCAAAATCTAAAACAAGTAAACCGCTTTAATAAACATTTCAAATAATGGCTTTAAAGAGTAAACATGACTGTAAAAGGACTCTTAGAGCCAATACCAAGCTCTAAGACAGGAGAATATCATCTGAAAATTGTGTCACTATAGAACAGCTGTAATTAAATCCTCTTAGCAGATTCTCTGCAAATTAAATAAACAATTCCACATAAAAAAATAAAAATAACAAATCAAAAGTTACCAAAGGAGTTTGTTTTGTTTCTAAAAAAGAAGCTGTTAACAGTTAGAGTTTGAAAAAAATATATAAATCCTAATTTGACTGCAAAAGATGTTTAAGAGGAGCTGAGACTGCATAGAGAGGGAACTGCTGTGTGTTATAGACAATTATGACGTTCATGGATGAGTCATAGATAGAAAACATTTCCTGCATCATGAGTTTAGTAAACATTTAACTCGGCACAGATCTTGGAAACAAGTTGTGGAGGATGAATGATACCGTCCAGATTTAAGGACATGGAGATAGTGAGAAGAAGCCTGACGGAATGATAAAGAATTTAGATCTAGAGTTTAAGGCCGTATACTGTGTATCATGGAAAGCATCTTACTGGTAGAGAGGGAAAAAAGTGATGATTTCAACAAAGAATAATTTGCATGCCCACTAGAAGCTGTGAAACTGTAGAAAAATATCACAGTTTCTTCTTATTCCTCCACTTCTTGCTGAGCCAAAGCAGACAGTCTCTCCCCAGCTGAACATAGATGTTTTAATACAAACATCTGCTGTTTTTCAAATACTAAAATGTTGATATCTATTTAGCCTCAAAGGCTGACCCGTACATTAGAGAGTAATTTAACAGGTAAAGTATTCTAACAAAACTTTGTAAATGATGTTTATTGCATCTATTTTGAAAATGAATAAAAAAACAAAAATGACTATCAAGGAAAAACTTCCCTAGAGGCAAACATTAAACCCAAAACAATGTCTTACAATTTTCATCAAACCCAATTGTTTCATTTGACATTTTTAAACAAAAAAGAAAAGGTAGACACCCTGTCTACTTTTATGGGTAGACTTATAACTTTCCTTTTTGATAAAGCTTATAGTTAGAGTGGCTCAGGTTATCCTGAGCTATCTCTATAGTTATGCTGCTATAGGCTTAGACTGCTGGAGGACATAGGGACCCCTTTTTCCTAATTCTGCTTCATTCTATCTCTATCCTCCCACTCTGCAGAATCTGTTAGTTCAATCTCTAACGTTCTGCTCTCTCTGCTTTTTCTCATAGTAGCTTCATCTGGTCTGTTACTGTTTGGCTGTGACTCCATCCTGGAGAGAAATATCAGCTGTGCTGCTGCCATCAACACCTTTGTTTTTAGATGTTGGAGCTCGGCCTGTTTTCCAGTGTAGTCCTGTTTCTCTGACTGTGACTGGCTGGATGTGCTCTCTTCATCCTCTGACATGGGAGCTGGCTCGGAGCTCGTCTGCCTGGCTGTGTGTTTCCTGGACGGGGCCGCCTTTTACAGTCGATGCAATCAACTTTAAAATAACAGTATGACTCCCTTACAGGCAAATTATTAAATATCAAACTCTAAAACTTAAGTTGACAATGTGAAAATGGCTAATTTTGGGCTTGCAAAGCTGCCAGGGTTTTGCACATCACTGTGTGCCAATTAGCGTGAAATCTGCATGCATAATGACAACAAAGTAGGAAACGCCATTTTCAATCAGTCCATCTAACTTCTCCAGCGCTGCTTCTTCCCTTGTTCCTCCGCTCCCATCCTCCCTGCATCGTTAATTGTCTTTATGCTCTCAAGAAAGGGCAGATTTCTTTCCCTCACTTCTAGCTCAAAACAATGAGAGAGATGATAGAGGCTATAAAGAGATAGAGACGGACAGCGGTAGCACTTTTAAAGATGAAAGTCCAGAGAAAGTAGCGACACACAACAGCAGAAAAAATACTCTAACTGAGGCACAGCTGGCGGAGCTTTAAAATATTTACTTCCGTATACCTTTAAATCGACTTCTAAAGAGAGTTTGAATTTAGAGGAAAATGGAACCTTCTCACATTGTGCTAATGGACTATCAGTAAGTGTTAACAATCCTAATTAAACAGCAGTTATCTACCAATAAACGTCCCAACAAGGAAGCTGGCGGCAGCAGAAAAGAACAGGAGGATACGATCTTATACCTATAAAACTTGCTGCCAGGTTTTCTTTGGCAGATGCAGAAAATAATTTAACATATGCATGCATATTACAAATCCCTATCTGTTATTCTGAGATGACCTGAGACAAGACAGATTAATCTGATGGTTTGATTGCTGCTCAGGATGGATGTGAGGATTAAATGTAACAAATTA